CAATTTTGTTTTTCCATAATCAATAAAAAAAAAAGCATAACTTGCAAAAAAAATCTAATTTAACAAAGAAAATATGTTTAACATGTAAAATATACAAGATTAAATTCAAATTATTGGACAACTCAAATATGAAGAGATATATTAAAGAAAATATGCTTAACATTTAATATATACAAGATTAAAATCATACACAAATACGAATCATACAAATTCAATATTTAGTGAATAATACAAAACAACAATATTTACTAAATAATCCAAATTTAAATACTTGAGAAAATGATACAAAATTACAAGCAAGAGAAACGATACAAAATTATAAGCAATACTATGAAAACAAATCATATAAATTCAATATTTAGTGAATAACACGAAATAACAATCTTTACTAAATAATGTTTAGTTTAAAAAAATATACTAAAAATATAAATAATTGAGAAGAATAATAGAAAATTAAAAGCACTACTATAAACTCAAATCATAAAAATTCAATAGTCAGGTTGTATCTTATGGAAAGTCAGTTGAATTTCTAATAGTTATATTTGGTCATTTGACAACATCTGTAGACTTAGTTTATTTCTAAGGGTATTGTTTTAATTTTTATTCTATTAGTTTTGAATTCTGTTATTATTTAGATAAAGTTGATTATAAATGTTAAAATTGTGGATTTTGAATAAAAAAAATTTATTTAATATTGTCAACTGATATATTTTTTCAGATATTTGAATTATTATGTTTCAATACTTATAACATAATTTTCGTGACGTAACAATTTAATGTGAAAATATATGCTTTGTAGGTTGATGTTATAAAAAATATTAGCGGACTCATTTTGTTCGTCGTTTACTATAATAATATTGCATTTTACTTTACATTTATGTATAAATAAATATTTATAACTAATTTACGAGTAACACCGTATCTTCAGGCATGAACAATTGCTAGTGCCCTTATAATATATATCTAGAAGTGATATTTACACTCTCCTCTTCATCAAAATTTGAGAGTTGTATTCGTAAAGGGTTTGTGAATAATGCTCTTCTATGGAAAACGTTAAATATTTTCCCCTAAACCATAATATAACAATTTCATATAAAGAGAGTTTCCAAATTCTCTAAAGAAGTTATTTGACATTCCAAATTCTGTGTGCATTGTATAATAGGTCTGTTTGGACCTATCTAAAATAAATACTTTTTAAGGGTTTTGGAGTATAATAAGTTAGGTCTGTTTAAATCTTAACTTTTTTACTAGCTTATACAATAGTTTTTTGGATCCAAAAAAAATCATTTAGGCTAATTCAAGAAGTTGATGTTATGAGTTTTTCTTCTGACTTTTTAGAGTTTTGTCGTTGATCTCACATAAATTTTTAATTTATTATATCATAAAATATTATTAGTGATGTAAAAAATTTTGAAATTCATATTTTAGAAACTATTAGTCCTGATTCAATGGGTCAGTACACTTACTTTTTCTTTTGTTTCTTTTGGTGATTTCTGATCTTTAGAATGGATTTGATTGTCATAATGAAAAATACGAATATTTAGTAATTCAATAGATGACATGAATATAATTATTTTTTTATTTTGACACAAAAAAATTGAAAAAAAAAACTAAAAAATCACTTTCAATAGACTTTTTTCAACTTTTTCATCTTTTTAAAGATCACCCCCAAACGGTTTTGAAGGACATTTTTACATTTGATTTTTTTGCGAATTTTTTTAAACCACAATTTTTCACCTAAAACAACCACTCCAAACATGCCCAATTAGGATTGTCAATTTTCTACACGACACAAAATCAAACACAAAATTAATTAGTCGGACACGAAATTAAACGAGTAAGTAGTTAAAACGGGTCGACACTCTTAAAAAAAAAAAAAATCATGTCAGGTTCACATCAAAATCAGGTCAACCTTATTTTGACCTGATTAACGCTTATATTTTAAACGAGTTGATATAATTCAAACACGAACTCAACTCAACCCATTGTAAACCCGTTTATAGCAATATAGTTTGCCTACTATCTATGAGGGATGTGATCTTTATATTATTACTTATTAGTTCTTACTTCTATTATGGTATTTGACAATATAGTTTATAACATTATTATAATAGTATATTAATATAGTTCTTACTTTAATTTTTTGGTTAAAACTTAAATGCATTTTAGTTAATTTTATTGATGAAATGTAATATGTTATTTGTAAAAAATTTATTTGAAATTTTGGATAAATGATTGAATGATGTATTTAATGACAATGAACAGATGTGAAAATATGTTATGTGTGTTAAACAGATATATGTTATGTGTGCTAAACAAGTTAAAATAACATGTGTGCTAACCCAAAAATAACAAGTTTATTAAATGTGTCAAATAGATCGGGTTCGGTAACCCATTTAATAGGCAGGTTAGATTAGTGTTTACACATTTCGACACGATTGTTAAACATGTTAGGTTTAAGTTTTGAAATTTTTGACACAAACTCGAAATCAATCCGACACAAAGTAATCCAACATAATACGAAATGAACCAACCCGACATTGACATCCCTATGCCCAATATATCCAAAGGAAAAGCTGATTTTCTAAAAAAAAAAAAAAGAGTTTAATCTCCACTTGGTGTCTCTCTTTCTGGACCATCCCACTAACTCAGGATTTCAATTCCTCACTCTATCTCCACACAGCTAAAAATAAATAAAAAATTCATGAAAAGTTGGCCAAGGGGCTAGGCTAGCCTTCAGATTAATTTTTAGAATTTTTGGAGGCCGGTTCTTCTTTGGAAACTTTTTGGGGCGTTAAGTTCACTCAACAAACTAATAGGAGTTTAAAGACAATTGGTGTTAATTTGTCTAAACTATCCCTATATCCTACTCTCTCTCCAAGAACACCGGTTTCCTTCCAAAAACACCGATTTTCATGTAATCAACAACTTGAAACAGGATTAATTTTCTTGAAAGTCTTTTAATGAAGATTAGCCCCCAATATTCCAATTAATTTTCTTGATTATGCCAAGCCTTTGGGCCATTGGCCTATTCCAAGCCCAACCCATGGGCCACTATTTGTTAATTGTTTCAATAATTTAAAATATTAATACTTCTTTTAATTTGTATTACTCCAAAATAAGAATATTATGTTTTATAAATATTAGGCTATAATTTTATATTAAAGTAGCCATTGTTTGGTGTAGTCTAGCCTACAGGCCAAGATAGGAAAGGCCTTTATTTTTGGGAATTTTTGGAGGCCGATTTCTATTTGGAGATTTTATAGCTATAAGTCCATTCAGAAACATACTAGGACAATAAGGACACTTTGTGTTAAATAATCTAAATTAACCCTAATTCTCATTTTAACACACAGAAAACCGGAATTTTGGAAACCGACCAATACCCCTGCAAATATGGAAATAAATGCTCCTTTAGAATTTTGAAATACAAATCTCATAAAAATAAATTTGAAAATTAAAATTCCTAACTTTTATCCGTTTGGTAGAAATGATGAAAAGTGTGAGGGAGAGATGAAAAATATGAGGAATATACTTTTTATCCTTTAAAGAAATAAAGTGGGAATGATATACTTTTCTTCTTTTGTGTTTGATAAAAATGATACATTTTCTTTCATTTGTGTTTGGTAGGATAGATGGAAAAAAATGATTAATTTTTTTTTTGCTTACTAAGATTCGTATCAAGTCATTGCAGGTTCGTATTAAATATTAGTCAAATCTAATTCAACTCATTTAATTAATCGTATCGTGTCGAGTTAGCCTATTTATTTTCGTATCGTGTTTGTGTTCGTATTGGTGTTGGTGTTGACCCATATAAACTTTGAATAAAAAATTTAATACTAATATTCTATTTTCACTTAATTGAGTCCATGTTCATACTTTTTCTACAAACTAAAAATTGACTTAATAAATATAATAATAATAATAAGTAAAAAATATCTTTTTTATATAATAATTATGATAGTGACAGTGCTTAATAAATAGTTACAAATAATTAATATTTTATGTTTATAATATTACTTAAACATGTTAATTTCGTGTTATCATACAAACGAGAAAATAGAAAAAGTGTTTATTTTTAAATAAACAGGTAGATGATGTCAATTTGAGTTTGACGAGTTGAACTGAATATGAGCCGATTATATTTTGTGTTCATGTATCAGATCATTTTCAAGTTTGTGTTGAGTTATAATCAAGTTCGTATCATCATATTAAGTTGATAATTTTCACCCCTAGTTAAGATGGAAAACAATATATTTTTTATTTTAAATTTTTATTTTTATTTTTTATAATTTTTATTTTAATTTTTTTTTAAAAATATTTATATTTATATTTTATCATTGTATTTATATATGAAATTAATACATACATAATATATATATATATATATATATATATATATATATATATATATATATATATATATATATATATATATATATATATATGTCAAATAATATACAGACAAATAAATTTACATTTCAACACAAATAATTAACTTTTTATCCACTTTTTTTTCGATTTTGGAGGGATTGATTTTGATGAGTTAGAATGAAAGCTCATCCATCCACTTTTCCATCATTCCTATTTTTCTTCCTTACCAAATATGATGTTTTATATATCTCTCAAATTTTTCATCATTCTAATGTAATCAAATTTAATCTAAATCAAATTCAAAATTCTTTAATTTTAGATCTTTCCTAGATTATAACTATTTCTCTCTCGTATTTTATTTACAGGTGTTTAATATTGAATAGTAACATGAAACACTAACATAAACACAATGGTAACTAAAAGCAATAACATTTAAAATCAAATGACAGTAACATAGAAAATAATGGGGGACATAATCAGTAACATTTAAAACTAAATATAGTAACATTGAACATAATAGGGATATAAATAGTAGCATGAACACGACAACAACCAAAAAAAAAAACATTTAAAACTAAAGATAGTAACATTGAACAAGAATAGGGAAATAAACAAAAATAGTTCACATTATATTCCAACAATATCAAAGCGGCGATCTCCGTCATGAACTTCTCGAACTCAAAACGAGCATCGTTCGCACACTCATCTTTCAACAGTATCTCTGTCTTCCTGGCCTTCAAGTTCACAGTTCCAATGTTAGTTAACATCAATGAATGGGTTCTCAATGCACTCCAATGCCGATTTGACGTCGTCAGCGTGAGCGGCATCGACGAGGCGTTGGGACACCTCGGACTCACCTGACCGAAAACACTTGTTTTCTGACAAGAAATTTGGCGGCCTTGCTCGTTAATACCGTCATTGTCCGGTGGAGTTTTTGAGTTTTTCAACGAATCTAAAGTGGTGACATCGAAAGGTTAAGCATGAATCTCAGAATGTAGAGTTTGATCTATGGACTAAAAGGAGGAAACTGGCGTTTTATGGGAAGTAATCTAACCTTGGTTAATGTGTGAATAAAGTATTATTGGAAGTTACGCAGAGGTGGGTTAATAATCATGGTTCAAGGTTGTAGTATCCACCATTAATTTATGAAGTTATAAGACACATCGGTTGCGGCATCATAGCACGGTATCGGGCAATACGACCTAAAAGAAAATATTAAACATGACGAGAAATTCAAGTTATATTGCAAAGTTGTGGAACTGTGTCGACTAATTCAGTGGCAATATTTCGGCGACTCGGATACAATTCAAACGACTTGGATGAGTTGTGCAAGACTTAGGATTTATAAGTATCGTGTAATGATATCGTCTTTGAAGGTGCCGAGACAAATACAACTCGATCGACTCGTATCGATATTGACCGATATTTTGAACCATGTTAATAATGGAGAAGTGGTAGACTATCAAACACTTGCCTAAAAAATTTTGAAAAGGAAAATGCTATTTGGATTTAAAAACCTGACATAATTTGTTGACCTAATGACGTACTTCATTGGAATCATTGGATTAACACTAATTTTCAATATTTGATGGAGTCCACAGTCAATCTAAAGATAATAGTGAATTAGGTCAACAAATTAAGTCAGTAAATTAGATCTCAATAGCATTACACTTTCGAAAAACAGCCAAAATTTGGACTTTCCACAGAGATAGCATGTTAGGGCAATTAAGTAATAATAATATTAAAAAAAAATGGAAAGTGTACTTAAATGTCCAAAGATGATGATAAGCCATAAGATGACGATATGAGCCGTGTTACTAGGATTGAAGAAATTATCACCACCACAAGAAATAATGAAATCGTCGGCATTTATAAACGCCAGAAAAAGTCTCATAAATTCGTGTATCGTTTTTCTGGCAATTTGATTGCACGTCATCTTTTCTGGTGCTGAGAAATCTAATGACATTTATTCAAACGCTGGAATATCTACACCAACATTTACCCGGACGAAAAAATAAACGACACTTCTATTGCCAGAATTGGATCACTGGGAAAAAAAATTTTGGCCTTTGCACCAACTTTGGGGTTGCTTTTAATTTTAATTTTTTTTTGGTCCATCTTAAATAGCCTTTCCAATGATGCATTTGTTGTGTTCATTCATCAACATAAAATTGCAATGCATTTACCAAAATATATACAACCCAATTCAAAATCAAAATGTGCAATCAACCCAATTCAAATTCCTATGCCTCTTGGCTTGTCCCAGGCTCTTGTTTCATGAATTGATTGCAAGGAAATCCAAGATCTCAAAACCTGATATCAAAAAATCAAAACACAAACACATGTATAGGAAAGTCTAAGCAAACGTTCCAGTAAAATAACCAAAGCCTAAACACTAATGATTCTCTAAGATGGTCAAAAGCAGTGATATTTGTACAAATAAACATGTTTCACGGACAACCTAATCAAATGAGCAATCAAGCAAAAAATTATCAAACATCCAATAAATATTTAGAGAAAGAAATGAGAAAACTAATAAAAGACAACCCATGGCTATTCCATTCTTCTTTTTTTCCGAAACTTCATCGAATAAGTGACAAGAACATCAAATGACGCCGCAACGCAAAACATTCTTTGTCTACCATTAGACAATGTTCTGATTCAACAACAAAAAAACATCAATGAGCCGAAAGCTAATTTCAATATCCAGCATTTATTATAAACAAACCCTCTTCTCATTAAAGCTGCTAGTTATCATGGACTAAATCCTACACGCTATTCTCCAAAATATCATTTGTACTTGAAGGGGCATAAAATTTCACCACGTGGATTAGGAGGTAAAATAAGCACGTAGTTATGTCACGTGCATAAAAGTGTCAACAGTCTGAAGCAACCGAACCGAGCTGAGATAGTTCGGAATATGTTGCCGAACAGGAAAACACAGCACGGCCTAAAGGCGTGGCATAAACTGCACAGCGAGTCAAATGCCTGTAATCAAGGCATTTAGGTGTAACAGCTAGGAGGAGTCGGTCTCTCAAAAAAACTGAGATTGGGGGAACGTAAGAGAGATTTATGCATAACTCCCAACAAATGATCCTGAAAATAGGGAGATGTGCCATCTCCCCACCAATTTAAAATCCTTAATTCAAAAGGATTCCTATATAAAGGAAGAGGAAGGCAATCAAGAGGTACGTTGAATCCTTTGATATACATTTCTTTTTGTAAACCTTAACTGATTTAAGTATCAAAGTGTCTTTAATCGAAACACTTCAGTTCTAGGCAGTTTGTTCCTTTTTTGTAGGAAGGCATTCGACAAGAAGGAACCATCCTACAAGAGGGTAACTATTTACTAAAGCTCATGAGGTAATTTTTATCCTCCTAAATTTGGTGCCATCTGTGGAAAAATATTTATTCTCGAACAAAAAGTCATGGCAAAGTTAAAGAACACAATTGGATCACCAGCAGAGCTTGGAGCAGAACAAGAAGACTTCGATCAGAACTACTTCGTGTCTTTCCCCTCAGATAGCAACATCAGGATAGACGTTTATGAGAGCCCAGAAGAATAGTATGAGGATAGGATTTCCTCAGCTAGTTTTAAACCGGATAATGATGAAAATTGGAATGAAGCTTCACAGGATGAGTCCTTCCGTGCTGAGGGGGATAATCCTGCCCTGACGAAATTGGTTCAATCTCTGCAAGACCATCTAGACGAACATGAAAAGATGTTCAAAAATTTGTATGCGAAAGAGAAGGTCTTGAGACATGAAAATAAAAGGCTGAAGTGAAAGCTCAAGAAAGCCAGTGAAAGAGAGGATGCCGAGGAGAATGTTCGGTATACCCAAAGGCGACAAAAAAGGACACCGGATCGGTGGAGGCATAGGAAAGGTGAAGGCTCGCCAAAAGCTGGATGTCATAGGAGGCCCCACCGAACCTTGAATTAGGAGGAATGGAAGCGCTTTATCACAAAGGAGCTAGATAGTCGACTAAAAAGGCTTGAGCAGAAATCAACAAGAGATCTGGCGCGACGAGCCATTGGAGACTATGTCGGAGGAGCAGAAACTTCTCCATTCACTAGGTGGATAGACCGAGTGAGGATTCCAAGCAAGTTCGTTGTTCCGAACTTCAAATTGTATGATGGGAAGACGGATCCACCACCCATATCTATCATTACAGACAGCTGGTGATGGTGCATAGGATGAATGAGCCCTTACTATGTACCATATTTCCCAGCAGCCTAGAGGAGTCGGCTATGAAGTGTTTCGATGGACTCGGTAGAGAGATAGACAGCTGGGGACAACTGGCAGAACAATTCATGACTCGATTTATAACCTGCAGTTGTCAGCATAAAGATATGGGGGCACTACTGACACTTAAGAAGAGAAGTGGAGAAACACTACAAGAATATGCACACCGATATTGGGAGACAATGAACGAGGTGCAGGCTTGCAATCTCAAGATTGCAGTAGCTTCCTTCAAGATTGAATTGCCTAAAGAGAACCTGCTGTATCAGTCGCTCACACGAAGACCAATGACAAACATAGAGGAACTCATGGCCAGGGTAGAAAAGTATATCAAGGTAGATGTTGACCTCGGTAGGGAGGTAGGAAGAGAGCAATTAGGGAAAAAATAGCCTGGTAGGGACAAGTTAGTCCAACAAACGAGAGAAGGAGCAAAGAGTAAAGAGAAAAAGGGTTTCCCTTCGAAATCATTGTACATGGGGGTCAGCACGGTGTTCAAAGAACCGATTTATAGAATCCTTTCCTAGATAAAGGGAAATCCCTTTTTTAAATGGCCAAATAAGCTGGGTGGGATCCTGCCAAGAGGAACCCGAACTTTAGATGCTCCTATCACTGAGACGTGGGGCACATGACGAAAAATTGCCGCTCTCTAAAGCAACACTTAGAGGAATTGGTCCAAGCTGGACATCTCTCGCAATTCATAGAAAATGGAGGTAAAAACAGCAACAATGGTGTCACAAACATCCCCCATGATCGGCTCACTCCTGCCGGCATTATCGATGTAATACAAGCGATCACAAACCCACATATGTCCACAACACAATTCAGCCAGGGCCTATATTAGACTAGTCGCCCAAGCCTGAGAATTTTTTCAATTAGGGCGAGCCCTGCGCCTAGGGGCAAAAGATTAAAGACGAATGAAAAAACTGGGAAGATTAGTTTTTCAGAGCAAGACTTGATAGGGGTGCACCACCTGCATAACGTTGTGCTTGTGTTGACCATCTGAATAGCAAATTTTGATGTCAAAAGAGTATTGATTGACCAAGGAAGCTCCTCCATGATCATGTACTTTAGCCTCTTTAAGAAACTACGTCTTAAGGAAGAAGACCTAATGGCTACAAATGTTCCTCTAGTGGGATTCAGTGGGAAGATGGTTTTCTCAAAAAGAAAGATCACCCTTCTGGTCTGGGTGGTACCTGTTGGGACAATGACTGAGTTCCTTGTCATTGATGTAGAATCGGCCTATAACACCATCATGGGGCGTACTTAGCTACATGAAATAAAAGCAGTCCTCTTAACCTACCATAAAGTGCTTAGATTCCCAACAAGTGAGGGGGTAGTTGACGTTCGAGGAAACAAGGTCAATTGCTGCACTTGTCTCCTTCCTTCAATTAAGGGATAGACCGAGGCCTAGGAAGGAGTTGCAGTTCAAGGGGAAAATAAATAGAAATTAATGGGCTAGTGTTCGTTCGTAGAATGCATGAATACTGAACCGACTAAGCATACCATCGAAGACCTAAGTAAGGAACTCATAGATCAAAACACCGAAAGGTATTTCTTGTTAGGATCCTTGTTAACCAATGAAGAATTTGCACGGTTAGTCTCGCTTTTGCAAGAATACATAGATGTTTTCGCCTGGATGATGAATGAAATGCCAGATGTAACACCCGAAATTGCATGCCATCACCTTAATGTTGACCCAAGCTTCTGACCT